TCTTTTACCAACGAATAGTGGGATTGACCGTCACATTATAACGCCCCCACGGCTGAAAGGGCGAGCACGTTTTGCAGGAGAGGGTTCGAACCCGCGACCTGCAGATTGCGAGTCGAGCGCCCTAACCACCTGGCCATGCCGGGCCCATTAATATAAATGAAAGCAGTAAAAAAAAAAAATCAATGTTATTTGATCACTTCAATATGCACAGGAAACTCAAACGAGAGGGTAATTTTTCTGTCTCTGAATAAAAAACAATTAAAACTCAGTATGGTGATAAAAACATAGTTTTGCCAATGGATAAAAACTGGAATGAGCTCCAGTTATTAAAAAGTTATCTGAGAAAGATATTAAGATAATGAATGTATTTATATATCTTACCCTCGTTTATAAGGTAAGGAAAGACTGCTGAAATAATTAGAAAGCTCATGACATTAAATTTTGAGTTTAATATTAAGCTGCGTGAGCATTTCCGTGAATGTTTTGTAGTATCTTTTATTTTAAAATATTTTGGAGTTATTAGAATTATTTTTCTAACATTTTTCATCATATAAATAAACAGTTTGAATACTAATTTTACATCAAGCTAGCGTAAAACCCTCATGTCATTCACGTGGGTAAGCAAAATTTGTGACTTGAATGATACACCAACGAAAACAAATTTTAATTATTGTAATGTTTAGAATTTTAAAACTATTTTAAGCTATTCTTAATTATTTTTGGTGTTTTTTTTTTCATTTTTTGACGTCGTTTTTCTCTATAGTTATGAACCTTACAATTTATCAAAGTCATGTGTTTCTAGTAACTCAACTATGCTAGAAACAGCTAATGAATTTTTGAAAATAACAAACGGAAACTTGGGTGTAACAGTGTTCTTAGCGAAGTTACGTTTTAACACGTGCGAAAAATATCTGTGTTTACCTGTTCTTGGCGCCAGCAGCGCGGTCCCGCTGTCGACGATTCTTGAACCAATTTCCCACCTGTGTCGGAGTGAGACCAGTTGCATGCGCTAACTCGCGTTTCTTTGTCAGGTTTGGATAAGGATCTTGGAGATACCATTCTCTTAGGAGACTTCTCGTACGCTCCTTGAAACAGTGAGTTTTTTGTTCTCCGTCCCAGATGGTCCTGGGTAAGGGAAACTTTTTTCGTATCCTATACTTGTCTACTGGACCTAGCGGCCGGCTGCGGAGTTCCTCGGCCTCGTGATAATGAGCCTCGAGCCACATGGCTTGCAGTTTGTCATGAGAATGCCTTGAGAAACGATTATTTTCTACAATGCTGTACAGTTCACGAAAGTTACCAGTGTGAAAAGCCACGACTGCCCGAGCTCGAAGCACTGCTTCATTCTTGTTTAAATCCGTACAATTTGGATGGGCGACGGGAAGCGACCACAAGAAGCGTTTCAGTCGTTCAATGTCCCCACTCTCTTCGAGCGTTTCACACACGACGGCCACCTGTCCCACGGTAAAATTTAGAGTTGGAAGAATGAACATAGGCGTGTAGCCTACCAAAGAGACAGCAGCAGGCCCTAGGCCTAATGCCATTCGCCGCAAGTGTTGGAGGATCAACTACTGATCAAACAACTTCTCTAGTCTTGTCGGTGTCCGATGGATCTTAGACTCGATTCTCTCGTCTTAGTGAGTAGTAATTCGAGCTCTGATTCCATATACGTGCTTAAAACCCTACTTTAATGAAAAACACAGAGGAAGCGCAGAAGGCCATAGACAAATGTCATGTTTGATTAGGAGCCATAGCACTGGATAGTGAACCCATTTGTTGATGAATTAGAGACTCTCATTGGCTGACCTGTTATAGCGATCAAGCCAATCAATGTCACCAATGTCAATTACTGTTTAACAGTGATTCGCGTAGGCTGTAACAGCAAGTCCTCTTTGCGAAACTTTGTGACATATCATTCAAGTCAAAAATAAACTACAGTTTCGGAAGAAACTCAATTGAAGCTTTTATTATTTCCTTCAAGTCAATTTCTTTGTAATGAATATTCCTGCACAAAACGAACTCGTACTCCAGAAATCGAGCAGCTTGAAAGTTATGAATTAAATGTATTTGTACAGGTTTCGTTTTAAGCATGAGTGGAGAGAAAAACATTGTCAAGTGCTGGCGAAAACAAATTTTAATCCCTTAGTTTATTATATAATAACTTTGTATTCGAGGGCATTTTTAGATGATTCTTCATCATCTATCAATTATTCGAATTAAGTTATTTCCGTTTCTTCCTGTGCCGTCTGTCCACCTTTTCTCTAAATATTTGACATGGTACTGGTGTTTTGAACAATAGCTCCCCACTAACAACAAATGAATTAATATTAGTTATCTATATAGAACATTAATGAGCATGCAGCATGTTTTCTTATACGTGTAATCAATGGACATGATTTGTCATGTATCTTTCGCATCCCAAACCACAATGTCAAGTACTAAATGATACAATACAACGAAGTGTGTTCAAAATATGGTAAATAATTCACTCATATATCTAAAGCATGTAGTTGTGGTTCATTATGAGCTGGTTTGGTAAAGTGGTTTTCACTCAGTTTTAAAACGCACTACAAACTAAAACACAAACACGAAATTCGCTAATTGTGATCAGTTAATGTTTATATTTAGTCTTTAGGCAGTCAGTGCTTCCTCTCTCTCAAGGTGAAAATTCTAAGACCTATACAAGCTGACCGAAACGTTTGGAAGCATAGATACTTCAACGAATTTTACATAATGTGTTTCATCTGCTGTCTTTTGTAATTTGAAACAAGTTTCGAGACGATATTTCCATTTGTTCCGAACACTGCAAAGCATCTTCGAGTCATTTTCAATGGTCCACATTACCAGTCTCTTTAGGTTTAGCTCGAAACTTCCCAACAGCACTGTGAGTGATGTTTTTCTCTTCTTCCGGATAGTGGGCATTACAATTGGCTGCAACCTTTCGCTGGAACCAACCTTCTCTGCCACACAGCAGGACTAACTCGATCTTCTCATGCTTTGACAGCACCATAATCAGTTACGTATCTGAAATTAAGAAAAGCTGCAAATCACCTGTGGTTCCAGACTTTTCGGACACCTTCTAGATTTCTTTAGTAATTTTTTTTCTTATTGTTCATTGTATTTTTGCAAGAAAGAAGTATTTTAAGAGATTTGACCCAGTCTTGGTCTTTCTCCACACCTATTTGTATAACGAGTTACTTGACCCAGTCTTGATATTTCTCCACACCTATTTGTATACAGAGATGTTTTGACCCAGTCTTGGTCTTTCTCCACACCTATTTGTATAACGAGGTATTTGACCCAGTCTTGATATTTCTCCACACCTATTTGTATACAGAGATGTTTGACCCAGTCTTGGTCTTTCTCCACACCTATTTGTATAACGAGGTATTTGACCCAGTCTTGATCTTTCTCCACACCTATTTGTATACAGAGATGTTTGACCCAGTCTTGATCTTTCTCCACACCTATTTGTATACAGAGATACTTGACCCAGTCTTGATCTTTCTCCACACCTATTTGTATACAGAGATGTTTGACCCAGTCTTGGTCTTTCTCCACACCTATTTGTATAACGAGGTACTTGACCCAGTCTTGATCTTTCTCCACACCTATTTGTATACAGAGATGTTTGACCCAGTCTTGGTCTTTCTCCACACCTATTTGTATAACGAGGTACTTGACCCAGTCTTGATCTTTCTCCACACCTATTTGTATACAG